AATAAAAAAAAAGATAACGTCATCGTAGAAATTGTAACAATGATTATTTTTAGCGCCAGTCAGTGTATTTGGACTGTCAAAATTGAAGAGTAATCATAATAAAAGTATATTAAAGCTCCGTAATCTCTTTATTACCTAGAAAAGGAAGATTCCACTTGTTTAAAAATTTTAAAACAAAGAAGGTACTCAAAAATCACATTACTAGTTTAAATGGTTTCTATACTAATCTAAAAATTTTTAGACGGAGAAAATGGCAAGAAATGAGAGAAAGCTTCGTATTTAATATAAAATTTGAACTAAATCCTGCAGAAAAGTAAAATTTGTTTGATGTAAAGCTTAACATTGATATTCTCGAGGAAGTTTCTCCTCTTTGTCTGACTAATGCAGCTGCTTTCTACTGAAACGAGTTTCCTCGAATGTTTCATCTTTAGATGGAATAAATCGATGAATTCTCTACTTTCTCATATATTATTTATTTATTTGGCATAAAAATCAACATTTGTGAAATTGTAAAAGAAATTCTGCTGCTAAAACTTTCTTTTTTTACGTTTCACTATTGCACTTGCTTCATTTTTAAGTAGTACGACTAGATCGATTTACCTTATTACCATTTTTTATTGGAAGAGTTTAAGATCATTTGCTACAACATAGAACAGAAAAAAAATATATACATTCATGTGACCTCAAAAGAAAAACAGAAAAAAATGGCATTTATACAAAAACTTTTCTCCCATTTTATTCACCCTTTCGAACCATTCAAATTACGTATAAAACTTTTCTCGTATTACCACAGCTAGAGGAGGTAATTAATCGCATACGATACTCGTTCTTTCTAACGAATGGGAATAACGTTGAAACCTTCTAGACCAAAGATTGCATTGCAAATGGTCCGGACCGATTCAAGTTGGATTGTTAAGTCAGACCTTGCCGCTTTTAACCACAGGCAATTCGATCGCGAAAATGAACTTTCCGCGTTCGTGAAAAATTGTCCATCCATCGGAAAATGCAGTTCGGTGGATTATAACGAAAATTAGGATGCCGCGTAATATTCGACGTTTTTTCGCGAGGGCAAATGAAAGTTTCGTTCGGCCATTCCATCGATCGATTTTCCAACGAGGTTATTTCGTTGCTAATGCTATACACGCGTACATTTAACAAAAAAATTTGCATAAATATCAGCCGTACAACGAGCGAACGCGAACACGGCGTAGGTCCTTTGAAAATGGGACTTTTTGTGTTCGACGAAATCATTAGGGCATTTTTCCTCCGTAGAATTTTCTGAAAAACATTTCGAGTAAACACGAGGCATTCGTTGAAAACATTTAAACATGTACAGATGAAATTTCTATCGGGGGGAAAAAAAGGAATTCTTCTTTTACATCGAAACTTTTCCCAATTCCGTATGATTCGCAAGCATGAAATAAATTTTCGAGTTAAACTACCTTTTACCTTTTCCTTCGCCCTTTTCTCTCCTCCGCGGTACAAAGTGTACCGTTTAGATTGGCGTGCATAGAAAAATTCTCTGTTGAAAATTATTCCGCGAAAAACCTTTTTCGAAACTACCTTTCAGCGGTGTTCTACGGAAAGAAAAAAAAAAAAAAAGGAGGATAAATAACCGATTTCCATCGCAGCGGGATATTTTCGAAAAAGCTCCCACGGTCAAACGAACCGATGAAAATTTCTAGCGCGTGTATACGGAATACAAAATTTCCTGCCCCTTTGACTTCATTTCGTCGTATTGTCTCTCCTGGTTTCAGTCTTTCCGTCGAATTTTCAGGTATTTTCATCGAGTATTGATTTTAATCGCTCGAGATTCAAATTCACTGTCACAGTGAATGACACTTGGTTATCTTTCACTGAGAAACTAGGTTGTGCCAGATTTTAAACCCTCGTCATGTTGCAGGACGCATATCTGACTTCCTGTGGAACAGTAGGCCTGTATGCGTAACAAAAATGATAAATAACATTTTGAAACGCTTTGTCACGCTTTTGGGAAAATTTTCATTAATTTCTCCTCCTGGTCTCGTTAATCAATAACATCAAAATGTAGCGATAAATAAATGTGTTAAACTCGTTGAATAATTATGCTGCAGTTTTTCAAAAAATAATAATTCCGTTACAAAAAAAAAGCAATTATTCGTCTCTACTGACCCAATCTCAGGTAGACCCAAAGATACATCGAAGGAAATTTTAAGTTTAATACACAATATTCGCTACTGTGCAATAAGACAAAAAATTGCAGCTATCAAATTAAAAAAAAAAATCATCGTTCAAAATTTCAAAAATCTATTCAAGCCATCGTATTGTGCATAAAAAATAACGAAACTTTCCTCTCTTCCATTTTTCTCACAAATCTACCACTTACGAGAAAAACGTTGAAAACTAATAGCACGAACACCTTGGATATTTTCACCGACGTATGACACTAACTTTATCAAAAAAATGTAATTTAAATCATAGAATACTTTCTGTACAATTATGTACCACAATGTATACACGCTCTTTGCAACGAAAGGGTTAAAATTTCTTTGTTACGACAGCGTATACCAAAACACCCAAAACCTCTTTATAATTAACACATTGCTGACGGCATACTATGAAATGGACCGAAACTTAAAACTGATAAATTGACACGTTTGATATCTGTAGTTTCTAAAGAATAATTTTTAACACTTTATTCAATAATAGAGACAATAGATAATAATTATATAGATAGAGATAATAATTGAACGATGCGAATTAGCGTATCTCGTCACGAGCTGTTGAAAAACAAGACAATTCGCGTCTCCCGTCGCTAACAGTTGAGAAACAAAAGACTCGAATTCGCGTCTCCTTTTTAACAGTGTGTTAAATCACTTCAATCTTCCTGATTTTTCACATAATTCCTGTCCATAAAAATCAACAACAGTCCGTCTTCGTCCGCGCGAAACGAATCCACGTGAAACAAGATGGACTCGAAGAACACGCATTGAACGGGCCTCGCCGTCGAACCGACGCGACGCAAACACGCAGACCGCAAACAGTCGACGCTATTCTTCATCAACGCGTCGCTTTGCGTGCAAGGACGCGTGAAATTTACTTGGTTAAAGGCTGGGGTCGAATACGAGAGGAGAGGCTGAGTAACCGGGCAGAGGCTGTATATTTCATCGGGGCCGTTGCGTTTAGGCCAGTGCGCGCAAATTCGTGCAGCAGGTGACCAGCGTGTGCAAAGGCAAACGTGTAACCAGGCCGCAGGTACACAGGCGTGCGCCCGATTGTGCAGCCCCGTTCCAGAAAAATTAAACAAGCATCGATCCTGGAACGCGAACAAGCAGATTACACCGATCTTCCCATTCGGATATTCTGTCTTCCGTTTTCCATCGTGTGCTCGCTGAATTTTGCCGTTTCGCGGTCACTCGATATCTGTGAAATAAATATTCAATTGTTGAATATGATTTCATGGTGTATAAATTAGGCTAGGTTAGGTTTGCTTATGAATTATGGAGAATTATAGAGAGCGGTCGATGAGCTTCTGTTCCTTGATCAGATTTCAATATTGTTATTATGGAAGTTTGCGTGAGTGGAAGGATAGTTTTAGACGAGAAGTGTTCGTTAATAATGGATTAATGGAGTGGTTGTTGGTTTTTCAATATTGTAAGAATGGTGTATTTTTTTGGTCGTAGATTTTCATCGAGTTCGTTGAAAGTTTTTGCTGGTGCAGGAATAACTGTGAATTTACTGCGATTTTATTCAGAATTTTATTTATTAATGTTGAATACGTTTTGCGGTTGTATCATGTGACTTAATAACATTTTTTCGCGTTCGGTTTACAGTCTATAACCCGATTGTTGTTCGTTCATAAAGAGAAAAATTACGGTTGATTACAATTTTAATTTTATGAGAAAAATTAATAATTATTTTCAGAAGAATTATTAATAATTATTTTAGAAAGGATTAATAAATATTATAAAGAAATTGGCGGATAATAGCGTAATGGAGCAATATAATGCAGTAGTATAGCAATAGATAAGTCAGACTTATAAAATACAGACAAATATCTAACTTCCAAATCACATGGCGCTGTAAAGATTTAACATAAACGTTTCATAAATTAAACAATTGTTAACAGAACAGTAACTGAAATTAATTTACGAAGAAACTTCGGCAAAGGCTCGCTTTACTTCCTCTGTTTTTGCAATCTTTTTATTAAATTCAATCTTCCTTGGACGTTCTTGTTGAAAGGAGTACATCGAACGTTTCTCCGGATGCAACAACGCAATGTTTACCAGAGCTTTTCTGGCTTCCATTCCTTTCACGGAAGTGGTGGCGTTGCGTTCGCGAATAATTTCCGCCATAGAATAGAATATTCCTTCTCCAGGTTCTGTTTTAAATCTCCCGTAAACGCACGCTTTTACGACCGTTACGTAATCCTATAAATTAACTAAAATTACAGCTCGAGCGCGTGCACGCGGATTTCTATGTTTAAATGTATCCTTACGTATCTACGACGCGTAACACGGCAGATCTATCGTGGATTAATTCGTCGTAGCCTTCTTTCGTGAAATTTTTCGCTAAATTTCCGTATTTACAATGTGATCGATACCTGTATTTCATAAATTTTTTATTTTGAAAATTCTATATTTTTGAACATCATCGAAGAATTTTTCTACTAATTTTCTCATCAGAACATTCAAATGTTATTTCTATAAATTTTATTTTAACTATGGTACTTTATGGATATTCGTTATACTCGTTTATATTTTATTTAATTTTTATATTTCACGTGTTAATAATTTTTTGAATACTTAGAGTTTTACCACATATTTTTTAAACATACTTTTTAGCTGGTACTTTCATTTGTTTGTTAAAAGAATATTAATACGAATTAATGTCTTCTATGAATTTCCTATGAATTATTCTAAGCTCGTACTGTTGATAAAATTACTCTGCTTCCGGTTCCCCGGGTCATTTATCATTCACACAAAATACTAATGTTCGCGTTATTTATGATTGTGCTACAGGTGAAGGAGGACAATATTTCCGAGTGAGGCCAAGAAACAGCTCTGTCCTGGAAGGTGGTATGGTGACAATACCCTGCGAGGTTGGAAACAGAGTTGGCACTGTGCAGTGGGTGAAGGATGGCTTCGCTTACGTCATACAACCGAGTAAGTACATCGATCTTTCTATTGTTTGTCCATGTTTGTCTCGAAGCACAATTTACCACGTACCTGAATCCTCATAAGTATTCTCTTCAGGTACAAGAATATTCTCTTCGGGAATATTGAAACTTCTGTGAAATAATTGCATCGAAAATGCTTTTCTTCCACAGAACCAAACAATAAAGATAAAACACGATATGTGGCATGTGGAAGCAATCAAAATGAAAATAAAAAAATTTTATTCTACTAAAGAAAGAAAGGAAAAAAATTGTATTAAAAATCGAGAAATTCTGTCGGATAATTTACAATTCTCTCTGAGAATATTGCATCGAGAATACTTTTCTTCCAGAGAACCGAACAATAAAGATAAAACACAATGTAGCACACAGAAGCAATCAAAATAAGAATAAAAGATTTGTATTCCACTGAAGGAAGGAAAAGAAAGCGACAAACATAGAAATCGGGGAAATCCTGTCGGATAATTTAACTGAAATATAAGTGTCTGAAATTTCACCGTTTTAATAACTGTATCAAGTTCATCGAAGTCCCAAGAATCCGGCGATTAACGCCGGCATCGATTTCGAGCAATTATCAACTTTCACCGTGAGCGAAGATAAGTAGAAGTAGTACGCAGATGTGATCGTGGCCAATAAGAAGAATCTCCGCGAATTTTCTCCTCCGCTGTCTCTTCTGTTATAGAATCTTGGGAAGTTCGTTTCGGCTAACTTCATTTACAGCCTGATTAAAACAAGCCATTACCGACCGCGACGTAAATGGAGCAGAACTATCTTAATGTCGCGCAGGTTCGATCATTTCTAACCGCGGCAGACGACGACTTTAATCTCTTTCGTCCTGTACACCGTGTCATCTTTCGACATGATTTTTCGAAAGCGTCGCGGACCTATCACAAAAGCCCTCACCCTCTCGTGTCGGTGTCACGATTTTCAGGTCTCGGCGGGGCATTATTTGGTACCGCGCTCGGCTCGTACGATATCTCGCGCGCGCGGAGACGAAACGTGCCACGGAAGAAGAGTAATTAGAGCCTCGACTATCGAAACCCTTTATTAGGAAACCACGTTCCTTTTTTTCCCCCGTTTTTTCTTCTTTTGTTTTTTTTGTCTTTGCGTGACCTAAATTCCCGAACGTGACACACGTGCGCTGTTTCCAAAAAGAGGGTACGAATCACTCGAAACAGTCATTAGAAGAATCGTTTTGTTGGAAGTAATAACGAGGTTGCGGGAATTAGTGCAGAAGCGAACGTAGAACGGTAGCGATTTTGAGAAACGCACGAGTGGAGGAAGCGTAGTTTTGGTAATTCATCGAAATTGAAGAGAAATATGTAGAAATGTGAAAAATGAAATTTCGTCGATTTTGAAAAATGCAGAAGTAAAGAATTTCTTTTTTTAATCTTGCACGCTGCGTCGTAGTAAGTAAATCATTCTTTGAACGTGAATTATACAAATTTCGATATTAAAATCGTAGAATAATGTAACGCGTTAGATAGCAGGAAAAATGGTACCTTGTTGAAGAGAATTAGGGAGGAAGATAAATTATGTGAACTAAAAATGCGACGTTCACAGTGACGTTAAAAAATGAAGATAAACTTGCCGGGAAAATGTGCGGAATATTTTCACAATTTTGTTGTAAACAACATTTTTTTAACAACGTATCGTGTGTGACGTGTTCTTTCGACTTTTCTTTGTACGCGAAATTTCGCGAAAGAAGGTTTACAACAGGTCGAGTGAAAATACGACTTGAAAATTTTTTAAGAAAACACCTGTTACGTGTATAAAAAGTCACTATCGTTTCGAGAAATCTTTAAACGAGACCGTTTTTAAAACATTGAACGTAGGAAAAATTACAGGGAGATACGGTTCCCTGCTACGTTGGTTGCAAAATGTGTCTCACAGTAGACCGTCCATTTTCACTGTTATGTATTTCCTCTCTGTTGCTCCCTAAGGGTTACGAGTCGGTCGTAGTTTGCCGCATCTTGCTGTATATTTTAATAATGCGTCCATTATTCGAAAAATCGTGTTCTGTAAAATGTACGCGTTTTAATGGAAATTTCTCTCGACGTAAAATCGCTGATTTTATACAAGATCCTCTAAATTACATTGTTTATCGTTCCATCGTATAGTCCGTTAAATTCTATACTGTTTACATTTCCCTGTACAATTTACTCTGTTACATATTACTCGTCGTTCATCTTCGCATTTATCGCGTAAATAGTTTTACAACTTTCGCATAGATAACCGCAATTTGATCCGTTAAGCACTGTTTAAAATTCGCCCTTTGAAACTTGCAGATAGAATTATTTGTAAAAGAAATTTTTCATAAGATAGAATAAAATATTTGTACATTCAGCGAAGGATTTCACGGTTTGTGACCTCTCGGTGAAGTATTCGCGTTAAAATTCACCCTTTGAAGCTTGCGAATTGTTATTTGCAAATTTATAAAAAACTTTGTATTATTCAGCGAAGGATTTCACGGTCTGTGACTTCTCGGTGAAATATTCGTGTTATAGTTTTTCCAGACGCGGACAAGATGCTTTCCATTCGGACGATTATTAGGTCAGAGACAGTGAACCGTTGAATTGGCAAACGTTTACCGGTGGGAAAGTAAATTTTTGACGGAGGAGTCAAGGTTGACAGAAGGTAATGGCCGCTATGAAACTGTCCGGCCCTATCGATTTTAGATACATCACTGCTTTTATCAAAAAGCAAGTGGCAGCACGTTGCACTAGTTCCCAACGAGCATGTGTCTTCACCCTTTATAGAAGCGATGCTCGTTTAAGTTTACGATCTACCTTTGAGTTATGATACGACCTTAATGCATCTCTGTTGAGATTTTTTTCGCTCTTGTCTTATACCCGTAGACATTCACGTGGCGACTATGGAAAAGTCGAGATATATTCCATAAAGAATTTTATAGCTGCATCTCGTGAGTATTAAAGATGCGAGGTGGAACTTTCAAATAAGAAAATTAGAGCTCGTGAACGTGCATTTTGAACATTTAGGTGGCGAGTGTGGAAAAATCGAAATTTATTTCATAAAGATGAGGT